CGGAAGAGGATACTTGTTATTGATGTTAACCTTGTTCAACTGACGATAATCTATACACATCCAAAGGGAACCATTTTTCTTCCTCACAAATAAGACCGGAGCACCCCAAGGTGAGACACTTAGTCAAATGAAACCATTATCAAGGAGATCTTTCAACTGTTCTTTAAGCTCTTTCAACTCTGCTGGTGCCATTCTATATGGCGGAATAGAGATAGGATGAGTATCGAGAATAATGTCTATGCCGACATCTAAATCTCTCTCAGGAAGGACTCTGGGTAGATCATCTGGAAAGACTTTTGGAGACCTTTTTTACTATAGGAACTGACTGAATGGGATGTATCTCAACACTAGAGTCATTAACTCGGACTAAGTGATAGACACAAGCCTTAGAAACTAACTTTCTTACCTTAAGGTACGAAATAAAACGACCCTTAGGCACTGCTGAACTACTACTCCACTCTAAGGCTGTCTCATTAGGAATTTGGAACTTAACAACTCTATTTCTACAATCAATGGAGGCATAACATGCATGAAGCTAGTCCATACCTATAATGACGTCGAAATCTACCATGTCTAACTCAATTAAATCAGTCATGGTGTCTTTGTTATTGATGGAAATGACACAATCACGATATACTCGCTCAGCTAGAATAGACTCCCCAATAGGTGTAGAAACACAAAAGGGTTCATAGAGTTTCTCAGGAATAACATCAAACTTATTTGCAACATAAGGAGTTACAAAAGATAAACTTGCTCTTGGGTCTAGCAAAGCATAAACATCAAAAGTAAAGACTTTGATCATACCAGTGACAACATCTGGAGAGTTCTCTTGCTTTTGGTGACTAGTGATCGCATAAAGACGATTTGCTCCTCCACCAGTACCAGAATTAGCTCCTCTAGGTGTAGCCCTGTTTAGTGGAGCAACTGATAAAGATTGGGCGCTATTGCCCTGATTCTCATTACCTTGCCAGTTCTTGGGACACTCTTTCATGAAATGACCCTCTTGTCCACACTTGAAGTAACCTGACTGGCCATCACGATACCTACCTGGGTGGGTTCTACCACACTTAGCACATGCAGGAGCCCAGTTACCTCCATGTGCCACACTACCCTGAGATTGGGTAGGTCTAGCCTTGAACTGCTGGGAATTTTGACTATTATGCACACTTTTGTTTTTGGGTGCAGGTGCACTAGCAGATGATGGAGCAGGTCCTTTTTGCTTTTGTTGGTAAGAGGAACGGTTCACATTACTTTTTTGCTGCCCGGACTCATTGTCTATCTTAGCCTTCTTGTTTCTAAATTCCTCTCTATCCCTCAGTTTCTCTTCCTCAACCCGCTACACATATACCATTAACCTCGATATATCCATATCCCCAATTAGCATTGCTGCCCTTCCCTCTTTGCTTGATAGACGGGACCACCCAGCCACAAACAGACTCATTCTAATCATCATATCCGCAACCATCACTAGAGCATAATGGGATAGCTGGGTGAACTTCAACCCATACTCATGAACACTTAGTGACTCCTGCTTTAGGGTAAGAAATTCTCGTACCTTAGCCTTTTTCAACTCTCGGGGAAAGAAACGCCCCAAGAAGGCCTTCTCAAAACAGGCCCAACTCGCAGGTGGTGCATCCTCAGCTCGGTTCTTCTTTCATTGATCGAACCAAGTCCTAGCAACATCCTTCAATCGATATGCAGCTAGTTCTACTCACTCAGTATTGGCAACGTGCATAACATCAAATACCCTCTTCAGCTCCTCAATAAAGTTCTCTGGATCCTCAGTAATGCTTGAACCCGTGAAACTTGGATGAATCATCCTCAAGAACTCTCAGATCCTCGAAGTACCAGTCACTTCCTGTCTAGCTCCTCTCTGTTGCCTAACCTTATTAGTCACAGCTTGACTTAGCATCATTAGTGCTTCCCTGAATTCAACGTTAGTAACTTCCCCTTCAGGTTGCACTTTAGGTTCATTTGGTAACTCTTGCTCCTCAACATTACGCCTAGCAGGACGACCTCTGACAGCCCTTCGTGGAGACAAGATTAACTGAAAAACATGCAGAAGCACGAATTAGAAAAAAATTTTTAGAGATCAAACTCTAATGCACGAAATGAGTATGAAGAAGTGAGATAATTTTCCTAAGTGTTGCAACCTCCTAATTATCGATGTTGCACACTTCACACCGATAACTAGAACTCTAGAAACACGGCTTCATAGAATCCCTAGGATTCTTGAACTCTATGCTCTGATACCAAGTTCGTCACACCCCAAGCCTACACCCTAGGTGGGACTGCCACTCGAGAACCATTGTTGGCCCCAAGAAAACCCTTGTCGTTGCTTACTTACTCAGCAAAAGACTTAAACAAAAGAAGTATAACTCATGCAATAACTTAAGAAATAATATCTTAGCCAAAACAACAACTCAAGTCTTAAAACGTATACATATGAAATAAATAAGACTAGAGAACTAATATTATCTGTCTATGAAGCCACTAAAAAAAGAGGGATGTCAGGATAAGACCCCTGATCATCCTAACAATGAAATACTGAAAGCAAAGAAAAAGGAGTCCTCTGGAATGACAGGAGCCTAACCAACAGACTCTGAGTGCTCAACTGGATCAACAAGGCGTTGTATGTTGATCCTCGTTACCTACATCTTTATCATAAGACGATGTAGGCCAACTGGCATTAGTACATTGAATATACGAGTATACGAGTTGGAATGTTAAACACAACATAGGATTGAAAAGAATCTAGAAGGAACACTTACCTTGGCTTTATGAACCAATAAAACACATGCAATATATATAAATCTTGTCAAAACAATGGAAAACAACTTATTTTGTTAAAGAAAATACAATAACAAATTCAAATTTACTCATATAATAAAGTAATATAGTTTCTATGGGAGTTTCTCTCACCGACAACCACCACAATGAGCCAAAGCGGTGACACAACGTCTTGCCACGCTGCCAGAAGTGTCTTATACTTTGCCGTCATATAGAACGCCTTAACTTAGTGGATCCACTAGTCTATGCTAAAATAATTTTAAGGAGTCATGTAAAAAGTATGATCCTTAACTACCCATGATGGCTACATGGTTTATGGAGACGTGAGTTAACTAAACTCAAACTTGTCCCCATATCGGTGCTCAATACTACTCCCAAAATACTTAGCTCATATGTTTAAAAAAACATAACTTCTTTCTTTGGTTTGAGATAATTACTCAAAAACTTAGCTTAAAAGCTCTCTTGAAAATCTCAGTTTCCTTTCTTATTTAAATGTGAAAATATTTACTTTTTGGGAATACATAGTCCCGATATACTCTTTTGAACAAATGACTTCAATCTTAACTCTTTACTCAACTCAAAACATAAGTCTTAAAACAAAGTTTAAACATTTGTAAAAGACTTTTGGAAAACTCTAAGAACTTCTCTTGACTTGACTCTTAACTTCTCTTGACTTGGATCTTAACTTCTCTTGACTTGACTCTTAATTTTCCTTGAATTGAATTATGGATTCAAGGATTGTGATTTGTGATAGGAAAGATCTCATGATGTTTAGGAGTGATTTTCGATAGCTAAACATGAGAAAAGATCAAGAAATCACTACCTGAAAGCTGGTCCGCGACGCGAAGGTGTATTTAAATTTTGGTCGTGAAAATAAATTCTGAGGCAGAACGGTCTGTGACTGCTCCACGACGCGAAAGGATTTTACCCAAATCTGGAAAGCAGGTCCGCGACGCGGAGCCAGTGACCAGATTTGCCTGACTAATTTTCTTCTTTGTTTTCTTGCCCAATTCACCCAAACTCGGTTCTTTGGGTTCTTTTTAGATACAGATACCCAGCAAATGTACCTAAGAACCTAACTCCAACCAAATCAATAATTTGACGTAATGATCTCAGAAACTTCTCAATCTCAGCCCAATTCAAGAACGACATCAAATGCAAGAATACATATCAAGAACATCAACTTTCAAACTCTTTTAGGACGAATTTACGCTGAAATAAACATGTTTTGCACGTGGGTGAATGAACCCAATCTTACGAAAGCCTCACATACCTTGTAGGATTAAATCCTTGGCGAAATCCACAACCAAATCGCACGTTCTTGGTGAATCTTGAGCTTGTCTTCTCCTTTCTTCTCTTTTCTCTTTTCTCCAATCCCTAGCATGAATTTCAAATTGACTAAACTGATCTAATTCTGATTTGACCCTAACTAAACTACAAAAATCGAAATAAAATAATAAGGAATGAAAAGGACCATAATACCCTTCCAAAATCCGGATTGGACTTTCTTTATTTGAACAATCCAACATCCAATGGGCATAACTCACTCATACGAACTCGGATTCGCGTAAACTCAGCGGCGTTGGAAAGATTATTCCAAGATATTTCCTGAGATATCTGGAAATATACCGAAATCATCCTGAGCTAGGAATTATGGTCGTTTGAAGTTGACCAAAAACATAAACTTAACACACTTAACAAATTTTCCAGATTTTTAAATTCTGTCCAAAAATGATTATTTCCAATTCTTAGGTTCTTCCTAGTTATTTCAATTTGCGAGATGTTAGACATAGACAATGGCACCACATGTAAAAATAGAACTCCAATCCAATGTGTTCATACCCTAAGTAATAGGTGTCTTCTTTCATCAAATGGATGTATTTAATGCCTTTCTACGAGGTGATTTGTTTGATGAAATTTATATGGATTTACCTTAAGAAATTTAGAGTTAGGGAGAGAATAAGGCAGCATGCAGGCTCAAGAAATCCTTGTATGGGTTAAACCAAGCACCTAGGCAGTGGAATGTTAAGTTGACTGAAGCACTGTTGAAGTTCAAGTTTCAAAAAAGTCAATATGATCATTCTCTCTTTACTCAAAGGAGCACAAAAGGTATAACCATTGTCTTATTCTATGTGGATGACATGCTTATTACAGGTGAAAGTCTCAAGCTAATTGAAGAAACCAAAGATGCATTACAAAAAGCATTAAAAATGAAGGACTTGGGAGAGTTAAGGTATTTTCTTGCTATTGAATTTGCTAGGTCCAAGGAAGGAATTCTAATGCATCAAAGGAAGTCTGCATTAGAATTGATTTCCGAAACTGGCCTTGGAGCTGCAAAGCCTGCTATGCCTCCTATGGATATTAATGTGAAGTTCACAAATAAGGAGTATGATGATCATGTTTTCAACGACACTAATCAAGCAGAACCTATTGTTGATCAAGGATCTTATCAAAGACTCATACGTAAACTTCTATATGTTACCGTGACTAGACCTTATATCTCATTTTGTTTTCAGAATCTAAGTCAATATTTACAAGCTCCCAAGAAGTCTCATATGGAAGAAGCACTCAGAATAGTCAAGTATCTAAAAAAACAACAAGACCAAGGGGTCTTACTATCCAGTAATAAGAACAATGTGATAGCAGCCTACTGTGATGCAGATTGGGTTGCATGTCCTAACTCTAGAAAGTCAGTAACAAGTTATGCAATAAAAATGGGATATTCTCTCATCATTTGGAAGTCTAAGAAACAAACAACTGTCTTCAAGAGCTCAGCTGAAGCAGAATACAGAAGCTTAGCTTCCACCATGGCAAAGATAGTTTGGATAGTTGAGCTAATAAAGGAACTTGGTATTGATGTTACTCTTATGTCAAGGTGTATAGTGATAGTAAGGTTGCAATACAAATAGCTGCAAATCCAGTGTACCATGAAAGGACTAAACACATTGAAATAGATTGTCATTTCATTAGGGAAAAGGTTATTCAAGGATTGATTTCAACTAACTACATTCCTGCAAGTGAGCAGCCTGCTGATATATTAACAAAAGGATTATCCAAAGTGCAACATGAGTTTTTAAGTTCCAACTTAGGTATACAAAACATATTTGCAGTACCTAACTTGAGGGGGAGTGTTGAAGAAGGAGTTACTTAAAGTCCTAAAGGGTATATGTATAATTAGGTATAATATAGGATTAACTAATTGGTTAAGATTTTGTTAAATTAGTTAATAGTTAGTTAGGATTATAGAGGGCTAAACACTTATATAAGTTGTACTGATCAGCTCATTGTAACTACTGATTCAATTCTAATGAATATAGAATTCTCAGATTCTAAAGATCATCTTCTTCTTTTTCTTCTTCTTTTTCTATTCTAATCATCAAGAGTTTATCTCAATTAATGTACTTTTTCAAATAATAACATCTTTTAATGGTCTCATTTGTTTCTTATTTTTCAATAGATCCAGTAATAACTTGAATCACTAAACTAAATAATTAAAACTAATTTTCTCTTAATTCAGTAAACTACACATGTTGGATAACAATCAAAGCCAAATAAATCATGCTTCAACAACAATTTAATTTATTGTGTTGTTTCGTATAAATCAACAATTAATAAATACGTCTCCTGCAATATTGATTTTTGAGGAAGAAGATTGTGACTAGTAAATAAGTAAACCATAGGTTCTGATATCATTGAAAGAAAATAATCAATTGAGAACACACGATTCTCCTAGGATTCCTTTTATTTGCTTTACTAGTTGACAATGTAATCACATGCTATCAAACACAAACTACATTAATCAATGAAATAAAAAAACAATTGAATATTGCCAATCGAATCAATGTGTTAATGAAACCATGATCCTTCCATCAGGTCAGAATTGAAACTACCTTTTCCACCGTTCAAGTAGCACAACTTTTTATTGCATTGCCCAGGAAAATGATTACCTTTTTATTCTTTTTATAATGAGTCAATATAAGTATTGTAATGATTCTCTAGGTCATTTTTGTTCTTATGTCATCTATTCATCATTTATAGCATTCTTATAGTGACCTCAAGTCATTTATGACTTGTTGAGACTACCAGTTAAGTCACCTAGCTAGACATTTCTTTGCTTTTATGTCAATTTCTATGTTAAGGAGCTTTTGAACCTTGAACAGACATTTTTTATTAAAAGTTTAGAAAGATGACCTCATAATCCAATTCTGACAATTCCATCAACTCCACAAGGGTCATTTTAGGCTAGAAGAATGGTTGGCACCGCTAACAAGGCTTTTGGTGCGAGTTTGTACGGTTAGGCATTTTAACTTTCAAGTTAAGGACTAAAGTTTGACATTGGTCAACATTCTTCGTAAATGTGCTTGGATGAGAACTCCATTAGTGTGTTTAGCTCTAGAATATCAAATTTTCTCTTGAACGACCCTTTGTGCAAATCTCGAGGCTCCCGAGCTAATTACGAGCCCCCTTGTGAATGTTGGCTTAAATGTAGTTTTGATGTGGGGCCACTTTTTGTCGATATGATCTCACATGAAAATTTTTATTGTTCTAATGAATCCAGAAAATCAAATTTGGTAGGGTAGCATATCTTGTTTGCATATATGAGATTCTGAACGAATTGGGAATACCCCATTAGAGTTTTTCAAGTTGCCAAAACTAGTTGACATGCATCCGCTGGTCTAAGCAAAATTTGGTCTTCGCTTTCTCGGGCCTTGGGCTGTGTGTGTGGAGACCATGAGAGTTGGCCATCGCCTTTGTGAGGTCCAGGCCACATTTGCAAAGGGTTAGGGCCCTGGCCTTAGCTTTCGCGGGGACCCAACCGCATTTGTGAGCCCCTAGCTTCTCTTGCCTTCGCGTTCAAAGGATTCTTGCCACATTTGCAAACTGTTAACTTCTTGTGCTCTACATTTGCGGCACCTCTAAGTTGCATTAGCAAAGAGCAAAACGCAAGGTACCTTTAAGTACCAATTTCCATGAGCGATTATACTATCAATTTAACTCCATTTTAAGTTATTTGAAGTCTTGTAATCATGAACAGTTGGGGATATGTGTGCGGATGGTCGGAAACTATTGTAGGCTCTCTATTCGAGGTAACTTCGAGTTATTGTAGGCTGCAATGACTTGTTTTTGTGCTCTAAATTTTGGATTGTTGTATGTTGGTTGTCTTGCTTCTCCGAGCCTCAAATTGTGATTAATTTTGGAACACAAGTTCAAGGTAATATTTTAGACCTTTCGACAGACTCAATTCTGTAAATTCCAATGCGGTTGCCACAATTCCCATTTGATTCAAAAGTTGGCGCATTTTCATTTTTGTGTATTTGGTGTTGAAATGACCGTATTGATGTTGTGATCCTATTTTTGATAGCGTGACAACATTATGAGGCCTTTCACAAAGGAAAGGCTCTGACATTGTAATTTAGAGCACGCGAGATCAACGTAAAGGTAGACTACGACTTCCTTTGTCTTAGATTGAGGTTGAATGTGTAATTACATATTGATTAGAGTGAATTGTGGGTGGGTACCTAGTTTTTCTTATTTACTTTTCTTGATACCATGCTTTAGGACTTGAGTAGGTCTATTTTAGGTGTAGTACCATGCTAGTCGGGGATTATGTGTTTAGTTCTATTTTTGTGAGTTGACTTGGATGTTGTTATTATGGTATAATTAAGCATACTTGGCCTTAGTCTAGGACTAGACTAGTTTTTTGCCTTAGACCAGCAATAATTGTGGTCTTCAGGACTTATTTCTTCTCCGACGTTATTTCAGACGATTTAACTCCTTCGAGACTGAAGTAGCAGACTTAAGTCTAATAGAATGAGCCTTAGTTTCGGCGTTGATTCAGTTTTGCCAAGTTTCTATTCACTTTTCCTATTTTTACGGCTCCATTGCGATACCGGAGGTTTTATGCTTTGCTGGGTGACTAAGGATTGGAGTAGTGCAGGCTGAGAGCCTTTTATCGATACGTTGAGTTAAACGTTGTTCCACTGTAGTTTGGGTTATAGATAATACATGATACTTCGATGTTCTTATTGGTACCCACATGTTTACTCTTGCTAATTAGGCTAGTGCCCTTGGGAGCTTACTATTTGGCTAGGCGATGGTCTTATTGGTCTTGCTAGCTAGGTCAGAGCCCTTGTGATTTTATTGTTTGGCTGGGCGATGCTCTTATTGGTGCCCCAGATTACTCTTTCTAGCTGGCTGGTGCCCCTGGGAGTTTATTGTCTGACTAGGCGGCCCTAGGGTTTACTTTTTCTAGGTGGGTGGGTGCCCCTGGGAATTTATTGTTTGTATGGGCGGGCCCATTATTGGGTACTTATAGTTTCAGGTGGTTACTTGGGGATCGATGTCTGGATTACACTTAATGGATCTAGATTCGCTTTACTTTGCTCTTGTAGTTTAGCTATTTTGTGTACTTGTCTAGCTTATAGAGGTTCGTTCGGATTTTACTTAAACTTGCGTACGAGTGTACATTTTGGGCTTACGGGGTCCAATTAGGTTTAATTTAGCTGTATTTAGTCTTTATTTCTCGTACTCTTGTGTGCTTTTCTTTAAATTCCACTTTGACCTTTATTGGTGTCTAGATTCTATCTTTTCATATTGTTTTTACCATCCTTGCTCAATTAACCTATGATTCCTTCTGGGTACTTTTTCTTTGGTACTTATACTACACTATGCATCTATTTCCTGCCAACACCAACTTTTGGTTCAGAGGTGAAAGTGAGCAGTTCGTGTCCTGTACTAAAGTTTTTGAAAATTTTCCATTCTTTTGGAAAAGAAAATATAGTGTTTTTCTATTTTTAAATCTTTATATAGTTATATTTGCTAAAGTTGGTAATTCTAATTCACTTAAACCTCAAAAAAAATTTGTCTCTTCACTAACTTCAAATTTCCGACAGTAAGTTCAGATTTCCTCTTCTATTTGTTAATCTCTAACTAGTTATCGACCTCATAGGACAAAGATATGGGTTAAATAACCACTAAAAATGAATTTTTGAAAGTCAAACTTACCTGCTACCGGTAACCAGTGGAGCTGCGACGTCCTGCTGCTTCTGTAGCGCTGGCGTGGCGCTGGGGTCGATCAAGGGGTGTGGCACTGGGGTCAATCGGGGGTGTGGCACAGGTGAGAGAGGTAGGGTTTTGAGAGAAAAGGGAAAATAATTATCATTCCTTTTTTAAAAGAAGTGTTAATTTACCGACCGCAGGATGTCGAAATCTTTTAAAATAATTATCTATTTTTAAAAATATTTAATAAATACCGACATCATGAAGTCGATATTATATAAATAAAACAATAATTTAAATATAGTGGCCTCTTGAGGTCGGTGTGTATTAATTTATTTTAATATAAACTGACTTCTTGAGGTCGATTTTATTAATTAAAATTACGTATATATATATTACCTCCCAATTATATAAATTTAATTTTTTCGATCAACAAAGGTTTATCAATATCAGATGTAATATATCAAATTTTCTTGAATTATTCATTGGTATTTCTTTAATTGATAATGTATTTCATAACTGAACTATTAATATATAGGACATTATTTGTTAAACTACTCAACGAGTATATATAATCTCCTACAGTCAATATATTTCATACATTTTCAATCGATTATTATTTTACCTTTTGCGTACAACATCATGAGAGATCCATTTTAAATTTGGGCATACAAACTTTAAAACAATTTGATGGTGTGTGTGTGTGTGTGAGAGAGAGAGAGAGAGAGACTTGGTTTGTTATACTATTCGATGAGTATAAAATCAACGTATTACATACTCCGATGAATTATCCTTTACAATACTTTACGATGTTCTATTGTCTATTTCATAAAACAAGATAAGACATTAAAGGTTATATGTACAAATAATTAAACAATTAATTATTAATATAAAGTTTAATTTGTTATGA